GACCTACCGGAATTTTTTTTAAAAGAACAAAAAAAAAAGTCTACACCGGTCTCCGGTGTTGGCGGGTCAAAATTGAAATTAGGTCAAAGTTGGTTAATTGGTGAAATTGGGCTAAATTTTGGGTGTAATTCATGAAATTGGAGTTGAATTGGATTTCAAGAAATTGAGGGTAATTTTGGTATATATAAACGGGGTGACTAAAACTAATACCAATTTTTTCTCACTTCAATACTAAAAAAATAAAAATTAGATAATAAATAAGAAATGACATAAATACTCTTAATGAAAATAAATACCATACAACCATTAAAAATCTCATTTTTCTATCTTACATACCAAGCACACAAAACCCATCAAACCCATCTTCTTCACAAATCCCTCAATCTCTTCTTTCTTCTTCTTCACAACAAACTCTTCTAAAAAATCTCAAAACTAAAGAAATTAAAACCTCACAAAACTTTCAAAATGGAGTCAAATGACGACAAAATGATAGTTTACGACAAGTAGAACACATTAAGGTAAGTATCGATGTCTTTTTGGAGCTTCGAATTCGATTTTGAAGTTTTTTTTTTAACCCGCCGGCAATTTTCGACACATAAATGTCGAACTTTTCGTCAATTTTCGACACCAACATGTCGAAAAATATATTAAACAAAAAAAAAAATTCGACACATACTTGTCGAAGTTTCTCCAAATTTCGACCGGTATTTTCGACACATACATGTCAAAATTTCTCAAACTTTCGACATGTATGTGTCAAAATGTTGAGAAATTTTGACATGTATGTGTCGAAAATTGTCGTCAGGTTTCAAAAAAAAAAACTTCAAAATCGACTTCGAAGCTAAAAAAAGACATACATACCTTAATGGGTTCTCCTTCCATATACACTACCATATTATTGTCTTGTAACTCCATTTTATAAGTTTTGTGAGGTTTTGATTCTTTTGAATTTGGAGATTTTTTTGAGGATTTAAGAAGATGAAGAAGAAGATAGGGTTTAAGGGATTTGAATTTGTGGAGAAGAAGAGAGGATTTTTTTTTTCCCCTTGGTATTGAAATGAGGAATATAAAATTTGTTTGTATAAATTGTATTTTATTTGATGAAGGGCATTTTAGTACTTTGCTAATATATTTTTTTATTTATGGTTTTAAACTAAGAAAAAATTGTAAAATTAAAGTTCAACAAAAAATGGTTTTAAACTTGGTGGTACTGAAGTAGGAAAAATTTGGTATTAGTTTTAGTCGCCCCCATATATAAAAGGGTTTTTCTTATTTGCAAAATATGTTTGAATGGGATGAAAATATTTAAAACAAAAAAGTTGGGGCGACGACTATATGCAATCGCAAAAATTCCTTGAGGGAAGACCAAATCTAATTTTTCACCAAATGAATTACTAAAAGACTATTATAATCTTACTAAAATACAAAATCCACAATTACAAAATTCCACAACTTCCTTTGTGCAAGACCACACAAGCAAACCTATTTCATCTTCCTCACAAACCCATTTCACACAAATTCTTCAAAAAAAAAATCTTCATCTTTTCCAAAAATCATCAACACCCAAAACCATCAAATCTTACAAAAACATGCAAATGATAACATTATGAAGTCACGAGACATCAATATGGAGAATTCTATAGAAAAAGTAGAAAACAATCTATGAATGAATGTATTTTTATAGTTAGGTGATCGATTTTTAAGTTTTCAAAAAGAAACTTCGTGCAGTCAAAAATCGACATATACATGTCGATTTTTGTCTCAAAATTCGACATTTAGATGTTGATTGTTTAGCAAAAAAATCGACATCAACTCTAGATGTCGATTTTTGTAACAAAAATCGACATTTCACCAAAATCGACACCTACATGTCGGTTTTTCACCAAATATCAACATCTAGATTTTTTGCAAAAAAAATCGACATCTAAATGTCGATTTTGCACCAAAAAATCAACAGGTACAAGTCGAATTTTCTTCTTCTTCTTCTTCTTCTTCTTCTTCTTCTTCTTCTTCTTCTTCTTCTTCTTCTTCTTCTTCTTCTTCTTCTTCTTCTTCTTCTTCTTCTCCTCCTCCTCCTCCTCCTCCTCCTCCTCCTCCTCCTCCTCCTCCTCCTCCTCTTTCTCCTTCTCCTTCTCCTTCTTCTTCCTCTTCTTCCTCTTCTTTATTATGATTTATTTTGAAAGACAAACGCATGAGATCACATCACATGCTTATGTTTTTTCTGAGTTTCATTTATTTAGATTTCTAAAGGATACATCATATCTTTATAGCCTATATATACAAACACCATTTCTTGATCACAACCATCAACAACAACTCCTCCTTTCTCAGCTCTCACTTAATTCAAATACTTCTCCAAGAGTTTTTTGTTTGTTTTACTTAAGCTAAGAGAGATTCACTTCATACAAAAATGGCCATCCGCCAAATACTGAAACGATCTTTATCCAACGAAAGAAGATCAAATGAAATTCCAAAGGGGCATTTAGCTGTTTACGTCGGAGAAAATGATAAGAATAGATTTGTTATTCCATTTTCATATTTAAACTATCCTTCGTTTCAAGAATTGCTATGCCAAGCCGAAGAAGAATTCGGATTCCGTCATCCAATGGGCGGTCTTACTATTCCTTGCACCAAGGATTTCTTCGTTGATCTAACATCTCGCTTGAGCAGAACATGATATATATATATATATATATATATATATATATATATATATATATATATATATATATATATATATATATATATATATATATAGACATAAACTAGGTCTTAGGGCAATTGAATGTTTGTTAGCTAGCTCGCGGACGATTTTGTTCGTTTTTCGTTTTTGTACACAAAGAAGATACTTTGTCAGTAGGTAGAAGATGTACTCCTGGACAGATAAATTAATGGTATTACTTATGAAGGATTTTTTCTTTACTCCGAACCATTTCTATATTATTGTCACTAAGAATTTGGTCGCTAAAACTAGATTTTCTTGTAGTGCATTTTATGTCAGAAGAATATTGTCAACAAAAATGCTTGTATCGAACTAGGGATATAACAAATTTCTTTAAGTTCCTCACTACACTAGTTTCATTAACCACCACCATAACCATCATCCCACCATTGCTCAAATTTCGCATTTCCGTTAATAGTTTTTGCAGCTTGATTGACGTCGCGCCCGCCTTTTCTGTAGGCGGCTGGTTATCTACATTCGGGATAGGCTCTTCATTGTAGTGTTGTAGTTGCAGTGTGGTGGTGGGTAGTTGCAGGCAGCGAAGCAGGTGCGGTGGAGCAGAAGGTGGATGCAGAGTTGTTAGGCGGTGAGGGTTGGTGGGATGTGTCATGGGAAGAAGATTATATTGAATTTATATTTTTTTTGTATTTTTTTTCTTTAAATTTAATGGACAAATTAATGCATTTCGCCCAAGTGAACAGACGAAAATGCCCTTCAAGTGAATGGATAAAAAAAATACCAGTGAAAAAAATGCCGGAAAGTGTCAACTGGGGCAAAGTCCAGCTAGCATAAAATTTTGAAGGGGGGAGTCTCATTTTTTAATTTGTAAGGGGAAAGTGCGAAAATTGGAAATTTTTAGAAGTCGAGGTGCATTTTTTCCTCTAAAATATTTATGATGTAGTGTATTTCATAAATTTTTACTAAGGGTATTAATGTTATTTTTATAATACGTCAAGTAATTTTAAATTTTAAATTATTTAATAAGGGTAAGCGTTACGTTTGATAGTTGATCAAGGGGCGGGCCTGTAGGTGCTACGTTTGATAGTTGATCAAAAGGAAATTAATTAACCCTCCAAAATGAGGCGTATGATGCTTGAATTGCAGCGAGCACACCATGTTTGCATAAAAAATATATATATATATATATATATATATATATATATATATATATATATATATATATATATAAAGTAAAAATAAAAAATAAAAATAAATAAATAAAAAAAAACCGAAAGAATAGTTTGCTATGTGCTCACTGGTACGTATTTTGCAATGAAATGATGCCCTTGTATATATATCTCTGGCTATAAATTATTATCTGAGATTATTTGCCCGGATAAAAATACAAGCATCAGCACTAGTTACAAACTCTTCAACCGATTCATTTGTTGGGGGTTCATGGAATTCTAATGATCGAGTTGCCTTCTTTACAAGTACAAAACGATCTACGTTTTGAACATACTTTTATGCGTGTGACCAATATCAAACAAAAAGTTAGAGGGTGTAAAATTTTTGAAAAAAGAAATTCAATAAAGAGCTTATGATAAAACTTGTAATTGCCATTAATTTGTCCGGGAATACATTTTGTATCCGACAAAGTATCTTGTGTGTATAAAAATAGGAAAATATGTAAAGAAACTAGCTAACAAAAATTCTATTGCTTTAGAACCTAGTCTATATATTATGTTTTACTCAAGTGGGAGGTGAGATCAATGAATGACTCCTCACTGCAAGGAATAGTGAGGCCACCCATCGGATGATGAAATCTGAATTCTTCTTCAGTTCGGCATAGCAATTCTTGAAACAAAGGATCGTTCAAATACGTTAATGGAATAACAAATCGCTTATTTTCACTCTCCCCGACATAATCAGCCAAATGCCCCTTTGGAACTTCTGTTGTCCTCTTTTCAGCCGATAAAGACCGTCTAAGAATTTTGTGAATAGCCATCGATTTTTGTTGGAAGAGATGAAAATCTTGGTGAGGCTGAAGATGAAAGCAAAGAAGTATACGAGAGTTTAGTGAAAATCTTGAAAATCGAGTTTTGAAAGCTGGTTGTGAGTTTAGAAATGTGTCGTGTAAACATATATATAGATGAACTTGTAAATGCCATATTCCTCATAGCTGGATAGAGTGGTTACGAAGTGGACAAATGGTATATGATTTATGACAAACAAAATCACATGAAGAATCACATGCTTTTGTCTCTAAAATCTTCAAAACATTTCAGCAAGAAAATTTCATAAGACCCACCGAATTAAATGCAGTATACGTTAGATGATGTGATATATGTGTAGGGACTGTAATTTGTAAGGCTTACATGCATTAGTTACAAGAGAAAACTTATAGGGTGGTTTAATTAGGGCCATGTTGCCATAGTTGGTGGGATACAATATTTATGATCTCATAAGTTCATGTTATTGGCCTAATAAATTCATTATGAATTTGTTTTTTTAAAGACAAATCCATGTGATTTCATATGCTTATGTTTTTTTCAATTTCATAGAGGATACATCATTTGTTTATAGCCTATATATACAAACATCATTTCTTGATTACAACCATCATCAACAACTCCTTACTCACCTCTCACTTATTTCAAATACTTCTCCAAGATTCACTTCATACAAAAATGGCCATCCGCCAAATACTGAAACGATCTTTATCCAACGAAAGAAGATCAAATAAAGTTCCAAAGGGTCATTTAGTTGTTTACGTCGGAGAAAATGAAAAGAAGAGATTTGTAATTCCATTGTCATATTTAAACCATCCTTTGTTTCAAGAATTGCTATGCCAAGCCGAAGAAGAATTCGGATACCATCATCCAATGGGCGGCCTTACTATTCCTTGCAGAGAGGATTTATTCATTGATGTAACATCTTGCTTGAGCAGAACATGATATATATACAGTTATGCATAAACTAGGTCTTAGGGCAATAGAATGTTTGTTAGCTAGTTCGTGGACGATTTTGTTCATTTTTTTTTTTCGTACACAAAGAAGATACTTTGTCAGCAGGTAGAAGATGTACTCATGGACATATAGATTAACGGTATTACTTATGAAAGATCTTTTGTTTACTCCGAGCCATTTTGACATGTGCATTTTATGTCGGGTAAATTCCATTTTCCCTCTTATACTTTGACTTGGCATCACTTTACCCCTTTCTACTCTCGATTGTATCGATTTGACCCCTGCACTTGAAAACTTGTCTTAATATGGCTCTCGATGTTAGTTGTCAGACATTTGACCTTAACACCTTTCGGTTTAAGCTCTGAAGTTGTGAATTGAAAGTTGGGTTGTGAGTTTAGAAATGTGTCGTGTGAATGCGTATAGATAGATGAACATGTAAATGCCATAGTCCTTGCGAAGAAGCCAAAGGGTATCTGGTTTATGACAAACTCGTAGAAACAAAAGCACATGAAGAATCACATGATTTTGTCTCTAAAATCTTCACAAGATATATTTTGGAGCAACATGTAATTAATGATTTGTCATCTGTGGGGTTAAGGACATTATTCATAACACCACCTGCAAGAAAATACTCAGCTGAATTAAATGCGGCATAAGTTCAATTGCAGAACATAACTTATAGCATTCAGGATAACGAAATAAATAGCGATGATGAGATGTGCGGGGCCGCGGCCTTCACTTCTTGAATTTCTTGTGAATACAAAATAAAAATGGGTTTAATTGAGATAGCCTCACTAACTTAGATAATGTACGATAAACCCACGTATTTTTATGTTTTTGAGTAAAATTCATTTATTGTAAGTTTCATTTGATATAAACCCAAATATTTAGTTTATACCATTTTCACCTTTTTTACTCATTCAAACCCTAATTAGGGGTTGTAATTATTTTTATCTATTGATTTTATTAAAAAAATATTTTATGTTTTTTTATTTTATTACATTTCTTTTTTATAGTGGTGGCCCGAGTCGTTGGAGCTCCGTTTACCTGACTCAACATTAGTTGACATATGACATCCCTTTTTTTTTTTGGCGGCGGGTCGTCGGACCTTTGGTTAGCTGACTCAATGGTAGTTAACTTCAACATTAGTTAACATTTGACATCACATTTTTTTTCTTTTAATTTTTTTTCTGGTGGGGGGTCGTCGGGGCTTCGATTAGCTAACTCTACATTAGTTGACATCGTTTTTTCTCTCTCTCTTTTTTTTTTTTTTTTTTTTGTTTCGGCGGCTTGTCGTCGGAGCTCCGATTATTTGACTCAACATTAGTTAACTTCAACATTAGTTAACATACTATTTTTTTTTTCCGGCGGCGGATCGTTAGAGCTCAGATTAGTTGACTTCAACAGGAGGTCCAACTTTTTTTTTTTAAATTATTTTTTTCCGGCAACATGACGTCGTAACTCTGATTAGTTGAGTTCGCACTAGTTGACTATGCACTAGTTGAGTTCGCACTAGCTGACTTTGCATTAGTTGACATCCGACCATTTATTTTTTATTTTTTTCTTTTAACTCTTTGTCGGCGGCGGGTACTTAGGGCTCTGATTAACTGACTAAGCATTAGCAGACACCCGATTATTTTAGTGTTGAAATCAGCTAATCGTAGCTCCGACGATCAGCCATCGAAGGAAAAAAAAAAAAAAGGTTGAATGTCAAAGTTAACTAATGTTGAAGTTAACTAATGTTGAGTGCACTAATTAACTAGAGATCCGACGACACGCTGGCGAAAAAAATATATCAACTAATGTTAAAGTTAACTAATGTTGAAATTAACTAATGTAGAGTCCGCTAATCAGAGCTCCACCCGCCACCGAAAAAAAATTAAAAGAAAAAAAAAATAGAATGTCAATAGTCAACTAATGTTGAAGTTAACTAATGTTGAGTCAGCTAACCGGAGCTCCAACGAGCCAGACCACCGCCGTAAAAAAAAATTTAATTAAAAGAATAAAAATGAGGTCGGGTCAGACCAGACCGGACCGGGTCAAACCGACCCGGTGGGCGGGTGGGATGGGATGGTGATGGGTTGGAGCTGATGACCCTTCGAAAATTCATATTTTTGTGGATTTATTTGAAATGAAAGTTAAAGGATGAATTGATTTGTAGTAAAACTTTATTCTATGGACCTAGCTCAAATTTACCCTTTAAATATTGATCAATCAATTCATTCGCATCCAACCAACCCTCACTAGGAGAGTTGGTACATAGCATTTACTAATAGGGTAAAGGTCTAGGGTTCGAGTCCCCCCCTCCCCTACTTTCCCTTGTAATGGACTATAATTTACTCAAAAAAAAAAAAAAATTCATTCGCATCCCAAAATTAATTATAGAAACTTTGACTTTCATATAGATGGAAATGTGAACGCAAGGGTTAAATTCATTTTCATGTTCGACTTTTCCGAATTCACTCAATGTAAATATGTTCGATTAGCGAGACCCCCTCATATTGTTTAAATTGAAATACACCCATTTTATTATGTGTATTTGAGAGACATCCCTAACTTCTCATATCCCTATTTTACCCTTATATTATTCCAATGCCCACTCCTCTTTTCCACTACCTATATATTATCATTTTATTTTCTACATTTTTCTTTTTTTTTCTTTTTAATAAATTTATTTTTTTAATAAATTTGTTTTTTCCTTGGGAGATTTACCACATTGTAAACAGCTACAAATTACAATAATCAACTACAAAATTTCAATACGACTACAATTTATAACAAAAACGACTATAAAAATATCTCAATCCAACAACAAATTTTAGCAACCAACTACAAGTTACAATTTATAGTAATCCCCTACAATTTATCGAAAACAACTACAAAATCATCAAAACCAACACAAAATCATCAAGACCAACTACGAAATCATCGAAACCAACTACAATATATAGAAATCAACTAAAATATTATCGTAACCTACTATGAAAAATATCAAAATCAACTATGAATCACCGAAACCAACTAAAAAAACAACTCTAAGTTGCAAGGCGTCGGAAGACCACCCATTTTCCACTGTCGGAAACAACTAAATGAAATATCTGTTAAATAACCAAAATCCCACTGCGTTTCAAGTACAATGATGAGCCGCCGCAGATGCTCCTCCACCGTCACTCCCCAATTCGACAACCTCCTCCTGCTCCAATTACTAGTGCCATGCCTCGAACTCCGCCTCTGAAATCTCCTCGCCGTGCGGCCGCTCTCCGGTTGTTATGGAGGGCGATGAAATTGACGTGGGTGCGGCAGCTGCTGTTGAGGTTGGAGAGCGGATTGGCTGCGGCGACGAAATTCGCGGGGGCGTTTTGACCGAGGGAGAATGCTAGCTATGGAGAGAATGGACTTAGGGGAGGATTAATAGGGAAAGATTGCTTTGGATCTTGTTATTGTTGGTTGAAGATGAGGAGTAGTTCGTCTGGGTGTCGAAAAAGCAGCGGCTGGTGTCGTCGGAAATTACAAATTTTGGCGGAAGACAACCTGTCTCTCCATGTTCCTCAACGAATCCTCCAACTCTGTGTGGGTAAGAACTCGCGACGGCGAATTGGAGAGGCATGAGTGATTGTTGCGGTGGAAGATATCAGTCCACAAAGAGAGTGGTGGAAGATAAAAGAGATAAAGAGGAAAGAGAAGCATTGACGAAGGAGAGAAAGTGAAAAAGCGGTTGAGAAGTAAACATAGTGGGCATGTTTGGTTCTATTTCCAAAATGATTTTCCAGTTTTATACTATACATAAAACCGGGATTATGTTTGTTTGTGACTTTTCACTTGGAAATTCCTATTTTTCTTAAAACAATTTCCAATAGAAATACACTATTCTTACTTTTCTCATATTTCTAATCTTTATTATACTTATAGATACTTATAGATACTTATAATACTATATAATAATAATATTAATCATCATAACAATAATAATAATAATAATAATAATAATAATAATAATAATCACAATCATAATAATAATAATAATAATAATAATAATAATAATAATAATAATAATAATAATAATAATAATAATAATAATAATAATAATAATAATAATAATAATAATAATAATAATAATAATAATAATAATAATAATAATAATAATAATCATCATCATCACCATCATCCCCAATCATTATATTCTACTTTTGCACGTACTTTCGTAGAGAAAATTCCCACAACCAAACATATTCTCATTTCTACACCTACATAAAACTAAAAATACCACTTCATCCAAACATATTCTCATTTTCTACACGAAAACCAATACATCTACTTTTTCCATCATAAATTTTGAAAACTAGAAATTCCCATGGGAAACATAACCAAACATCCCCAGTGTTTCTAGGGTTAAACAAATTAAAAAGGGTAAAATTGGATTATAATAAATTAATGGAGGTATGTCACAATTCATAACATCATATGATAAGTTTGTCAAAATGAAAAAAAGAATTGGGCTAATATTGATAAATGGGGTTTGAGGGGTTCTCCCTCATTGTCTTGAATCAATATTGAATACTATTATTCTGGAAAACAAAATTTAAAATTTAGAATTTCCATATTTCGCATTTGGCAAAAGTAAAGCAAGTACAAGGGAGAAAAATTCTACTATCTTTGTAATTTCTGAAAAGTTAGAAGTATGTTTGAATATATTTTAAAATATTTTTATTATTTTCCTAATTAATTACATAATTTAATGGTCAATTGCAAATTGATAGTTGATAATAATATTAATACTAACATGCATAGACAATTGCATAACAAAATACAAATCTATGAGGCAATTATAATATAAAAAAGGGGAAAGTACAGTTTGCACCCCTGAACTATAGGGCTTGTCACAAACACCCCCTTAAACTACAAGTCGTACCAAAATAGTTATTAAAATTCACAAAACCGACATAGTTATATCATATATGGGAGAAAATTGTAATTTAGATCATCTATATTGGCCAATTCAGTGATTTAGTCCTTTTGGTTATGCTATTTCAAGTTTACATGCAATAACTTTGCAAATTTAGCAATTTTGGTCCTATTTTGCCAGAAATTTTAGTTTTAACAAACTCATTAAATTTGTTGAAGAATTTATAACTTTTAAAAGTCCATAAGCAAAATCCATCAAGTGCCACATCATGAAATGCAAAAATCAAGCAACATAAAACCAAAAAATCCTAAATTGCAATTTTATTGCATGTGAAATTGAAATATAATAACCTAATTATATACAGTATACACATTCAATAAAAATTACAAAAGTAAAATAACATAATCAAGAAACAAAGTATATTACCTCATTGAACCCGAAAGTCACATTCCTTAGCTCGGCGCCTTTAGTGTCGGTGATGCCAAGATTTCGGAGAGTTTGCACAAAGCCTACGGCCACATTAGGCACCATTCTCAGATCATCGGAGATCAAGAAAGAAGTTGTCTTAATCATGAAAACTCCAGCGGATCCATGAACAGCAGTTTCAGACTCATCTAAACAAACGCTTTTGTTCTTCGTTTTCCCACAAAGGCAAGTTACGGTAGTATCTCTTCGCATTGCTACCTTTGACCATCGGTGCGTACAATTCCAGTCCGGGCAAGAAAAGTACTTATTTATGTAAAAAAATACGTAAAAATAACCTGTTTATCACCAACTAGCATTTTTCCTCGTGCGATGCACATGGTATTATTTAAATAGTGAAAACAAAAACCAATTTAATACATAATAAGAAATTATAGTACACTAATATACTAAAATTTAATAATGTAATATTATTCATATTTTATATAACATTAGTTTTTTTTTAAATTTTACATATTAAGATTTATAATCCAAATAAATAGACTAAAATTTAGCAAATC